ATGCATCAACATAATGTTTTATCCCAGAAATAGAAAAAAACAGAATTTAAGGGAAACCTGAGCATGTAAAGACCTCTATATTCTTTACCAATCACCCTCATCATGCCATTGTAAAGATCCTGCAATATACAAATATCAGGATAGAACAAAACATTACATTTTAACTCATGAGCCAGTTTTGAAATAGAAATAAGATTGTGAGTAAAGTGAGGCACATGAAGTACATTAGATAATTGAAGACCATTTGGAAACCTAACAGAACCTATATGTGTGACAACAAAGGATTTGCCATTAGGTAACTGAACATACCTAGGTGTGGATGTACATGGCACATGATCAATCATGCATTTAAGGTCTGATAAAATATGGTCAGTTACTCTAGAATCCAGAATCCATTCAATTGAATCATAAGCAAGAGAGCAGAAGGTACCTGCCAAATTCACAGAGGAATATGGACTGGAACTCTAAGCTGAAGCCTGATTCATAAGCCCCTAAACCGCTGATATTGTTCAGTTATAAAGACTGGTGGAGTTGGATTAAGCACCTCATGATCAGAGTGAGCCACCATGGCAGCTTGGGAACCCTTCTTCTTATTGAACTTAAAATCAGGTGGAAAGCCAATAAGGCGATATCAATTCTCCTTTTTATGGCCCTTCACCTTATAGTGATCACAGGTTCCAGTGAACCTTTGATGATTGCCAGAAGCATTGGAGTACAATGTTGTAGAATCCATGAGAGGGACAACACCAGACAACTGAAGGCGATGGGATTCTTCCTGACTTATTATGGAGTAGGCACTGTTGACTGAAGGTAAGGGTTGCATCAATAGTAACTAACTTTGAATGGCAGTATATGAATCATTCAACCCCATAAGGATTTGGAACAACCTCTGTTGAGAAACATGCCTTAAATTGGACTGAGCATTTTCGCAAGTGCAGCTCAAATAAGGTACCAGCGCATCATACTCGTCCCACAAAAGCTTCAACCGCGAGAAATACGCATAAATGGAAAGCTCACCTTGGACAATCGTTGTAATCTCACGATGAAGGAAAATATTCGGTAATCGTCGACCTTATCAAAGCGTTCCTTGAGATCGGCCCAAACTGACGCTGCGCTTGAGGCAAAAACAATTCCAGCAGACAATTCCTTGCTCACAAAATTGATAATCCATGACAGCACAAGGGCGTTGCATCTGTCCCATTGAGCTTGAAGAGGGGGTTGAAAATCATCGCGGTATCAAACTTTATCGATGAACCCTAATTTGTTCTTGGCGAGAAGTGCGATTCGTATCGATCAACTCCAGATGGTGTAGTTGTCTGGCCCAACAGTTGATGCGAGATCAAAATCGTGCCTAGAGTATCCGAAGGATGGAGATACAGTGGGTGATTGAAATCGACGAGCGTGGATTCGGTCATCGGAACCGTTGTGGGTGGCATCATGATAGATGCGGTAGTGTGTAAACTGGTCTGCTTCAGGAATGAGGAAAGAAAGGAAACAAGAACAGGCCCGAGAAGGAAGAAAGGCCCAGTAAAATTGGACTAGCCTGATATCATGTTAAAGTATAATACGGGAAAAATGGAAAATTAACTTTCATATATGCACTATATAAATTTACAATCTGTTTATATATATATATATATATATATATATATATATATATATATATATAAACTTCCAATCTAACCACCTAACTAACTCAAAACTGCTTGTAACTAATTGATAACAGAAAACTAATTACAAACTTAACAGACTGGGAGGTTTGCATAAGTTATGTGCCTCGGGAGTGTAACTCAATTGCGGATATGCTTGCGAAGATGGCGTGGAGTCATTCGTTTGAACTGTTGCTGATGCAAGAACCTCTAGCAGATTGTCGTGAGTTGTTGATGGAATTATTCGCCTGTAGTTAAGGCTTTCAGTTTTATCTCTCTTGTATTCAAAAAATAATAATATCATCATCAGAATATTTTGAATATCCTTATTATGTGTTTAGTTTATTATTTTCATTATAAATTTTTATTATAATTTTGAATTTTTTTTATCTTAACAAAATTAATTGATTCGATATATATATACATATAAAGCATCTTAATAGAAGTGCAACACAACCTTGATCGACGCTAGTTATATATTTTGTTCAAATCCAACAGTTATATGATAGAGAAACTTCGCAGAAAGATTTGCAAGTAAAAGCCACGTTCAAAGTCTCCACTCCATCGAAAATTTGTCACCATTCAGCAAAAGCCTTGTGGAAAACATGGAAACTCAAATGGTCTCGGTCATGTGTATAAATGGTCAAATTTAACCCTTTGCATGAGATTGTTCCATTTGTAACGTGAAAAAGTATATCATGAAAACGGTAGAAAATGTGTAACATAGAAGAGTATAGCAAGAATATTTATTATATATTTTTTATCTGGTTTAGAGTTTATCATAAAAGATCTTCAAATTAAAAATCATATCTTATATTGATTATTTCAATGGTAAAATAGAATATTATTTCACGTAAAAGTTATAAGTTCAAACATTTGTGTTGTAGGGTGTGTATATGTTGTCAGTAGATTATAAAAGTCTTAAACATATATATATATATATTATCTTATAATCACTCGGACTATTCTAATATATATATATATATATATATATATTATTTTAATCTTCAAATTATTAAAATCAATTTTATTAAAGTAAACAATTTTTTTAGTGATAAAGCCACAAGGCGGGGACATACAGTAGAAAAGTTTAAAACGATCAACACCTCACAACCGAATCAAAACAAAAACAAAAAGATAGCAAGAAAATTCAGTAATGAGGCATAGAATAAGAACAATGACCAAAAATTATTATAGGAAGGCAGAGTGAAAGATGGGCAACAAGAGGGGAGTCAAAGCGCTAAGATGCAAAGACCAGGACAAGCAGGGCGGCTAAATTATCCTCCAAACTGACATTCAACAAAAAGGTTTAAACTATACAGATGATCCCTTTTGTTTTCAGTTTTTCTTATTTGGTCATCAGTTTTTAAAAATTTACATTTTGATCACTTATATTATTGATGTATTGTTTTTGACCACTGAGCTATTAAGTCTAATTAGTTTCCTGACATGACATATTAATAAAAATATTAAATTTTAACTGTCATTAAATTTTATACAGACCATTATTTCACCACTAAATTTTAGATAAAATATTAATTTAACTCTTAAATTCAATTGAAATCTCCACCGTTGACCGCCACTTATTTTCACGTCGGTCATCATTGATTGTCATCACCGATCACCGCCAAAGTAGGTTGGGCTCCATTAGCTGCTCCGATCTCATCGATGCTGCAGATCTAAGCACAAACAATGCCCTGGTTGCGGTCACAAGCTTGAAGGAAAGCCAGTAATGATTCAAATTCTTTGCTTCAAAGCCTTTTCGTTTTGATCTTGAAGGAAACTTGTTTTAATTGAAACATGAAAACTTGCAAGACTGGTTAGGTTTACTAGTCGGAGTTAAATTTGATCCCACAAACCAGTAACTGATAGAACAGAACCCCTTGAAGCTAAAGACATGATATCTCACCCTTTAATCGATGAATTCATCCCCACCATTGAAGAAGAAGATGGCATTTGGTCTACCCGTGACATAGTTTGTTGCATTGCACCTAAATGAACATAACTTTGATTTTATGTTGATTAAAACATAATATTAGTCGTTTATCTAGGGTCATATCATATTCCCTTTTGTGTAACTCTTTCATTTCATCTCTCCTTCGATATAATGTTTGAAATTTAGGGGTATATACTTTTGAAGAAAAAATTGTTAATTCAAAAAATATATATTTTTCTTATTATACACACTCGTGAAAAAAATTTAATGAAGAAAACTTAATTTCATATGTTTGAAATTTTTTATGTCATAAGAAACAATCATAACATAAATTTTGATATTTTATAATTTTATTTTATTATAAAATATTGGCAAAAGGGTAACTTTACCCTTATAGTAGACTCAATTTATCACTTTCGTCCCTATCGTATTTCCACATCAATTTAGTCCTCGTAGTTGCTCAATTGCATCATTCTATAACCCTACTCCGAACTTAAAACCCTAAATTATAATCCCTAAACTCTAAACCATAACTCTATTACCTCTAAACACTAACTTAGGATTTTAGGTTAGGGAAAGGGCATAGAATGATGCAATTAAACAACTTTGAGGGCTAAATTGATGTGAAAATACGATAGGAACGAAAATGATAAATTTAGTCTACTATAAGGACAAAGGTAACCCTTAAACCTAAAATATTTTAGGAATCTTATTTTAAAGAGTATCATGATATGTATCTTTTGAGACAGACACTATATGTTGTATCAAAATTAAATGTAAAATGTATAACACGTAACCTAAAATTTAAAATAATATATTAAAATGGTAATGTAAATTGCTGCTATAAATTAACAAAATAAATACATGAAGAGTTTAAAATTTATCAAAAAAAAAATACTAAATTGAATATTATAATATAACATATAATTAGAAGTGCTTTGACATTTCCTAATTTGCATTTTGAGAAATACATCATCAAATTATGTTTCCTTAAAAAAAAGCATTTGTAAGAAAATGATATTTAAAATATTTATTTTAAAAATATATTTTTTAAATAATATAATAATAAGTTTATTGAAGTTTATATTAATTTATTATTATAGTTTATTTTAAAAGAAATTAAAAGGTTTTTTTAATAGGAAGGGTTATATATCTAGTTTGTGGAGTTTAAGATATTTTTTGTGAAACGTACACTAAAATCTTGTTTAGAAGATCAAAAATAAATAAACTAAAAATTTTAAGATCTGTCTATCGACGATAATGATAAATGAAGATTAGTGACAACAACTAATGGTGATTGGAAACATTAAAAGAAATATATGATAAAGATAATTTAGTGAAATTTACATCCAATAATATTTTCTCAGTCAAAAATGATAATCTTACATATGATCAAATAAATAAATTAAACAAGATAAAGTAACATTTTCAATAATTTATTTGTATCAAATAATGTTGTATTCCAATAATTTTGTTCTAAGATGAGATATTAGATTTGGTAAATAGAATGTATGTATCCTAGCCGTTTTAAAAGATGGAAGAAGCAATCCAAGTTGATGATGTTTCAGCAGGAGGGGATTATGGGTTTCGTGTCGAACTCATACATCTGAAGAATCTGATTTTCCCCGAATTTGAATGCTCTGTCCATCAGCTTGAAGCACTTGTCAACCGGGTAATTGTCGAGCTTCCCACAAGGTTTACATCCCACAAAGTGAGTCACCAGCGGCAAACGATTATCACCTAAAATGGGGTGATAACTCTCGATCATGTCTTCATACCTATCAATCAAACTCCCCCCGAGAACCCTGCAAGTAATAAACATTCTCTAGGTAAACCTCATCTCCCCATTTCTCCCTTTGAGCAGCCAACAGATAAACCATCGCGGATCGATCATCAGCATCGGAAACAGGGCGGTACTTGTGTTCCCTGGTCAGAACCTCCTCTGCCTCTTCCCTGGTCTTCCCTTTTGGATCCATTGGAGCCCAATCATCGAGAAGATCGAGTGCCCATTTCTCTGCAAAAAACTCCCGGTATTTACCTCGATCCAGTTCTTTTACTCATAAACCATCTCTTTCCATCCGTGCATGACCTGGTTCGAGTTTATATACCTTTCCCAATCTAAGAAAAATTCAACGATATATGTTGCACACTGAAACATATTACTAAAGTGATATACCAAAACGAATCACAAACTAATTAAAATAAGATAAAACTATAAAAGATCATTAACTATGATGAAAAGATCTTTTCAGTTATTCAGCTTTTAAAAAGTTATAAATTAAGCATTAAACTTTAGATTTTATTAAAAATATAAACATGGATCATTAACAATTATTAAGGGATGATATGACATTTTAAATTGATAAGAAAACAACTCCTTTGTTCCTTAATAGTAACTAAAATTTTCTTTTGATACTTTTTTCAATATTTTTAAGTAAGAATTTGTTATAGAAACTAAAACCTTGCAAGTTGAGAAATATTTAGTTATAGAAACTAAAACCATCAAAATGAAGTATAAAAACTTACAAATTTTGCAATCAAAACATTAGCATCCTTTTCATGGTGGACAGCAACTTCATCCAAGATCGGTGCCAATTTCCGACAATGTCCACACCAGGGACCATAAAACTCGAACAAAACCGTAGAAAGAAAAGCCTGATGTCATTGTAAAATTCCCAAAGAAATGGTTACAGAAATAGAACATTGAAATTCTAAAAAGCGAATGGTTGTAGAGCACGTGAAGACTCCACCCTACTCCAAACATTATTAACGTCCCAACCTAGAGACTCGCAGAATATCTAGGTTAATCTTTTTCTCAACGACCCAAATGCACAATCTGTAAGCTCTTGTGACTAGGTGAAAAATACGGTAATAAGCCCATGCTCATTCAACATTATACATTGCAACAACAAAAGAGAACAAAGAAAGTTCACCTGAGATGAAAATTTAACCATCCCCTGCTCTCTTTTTCCACGAAAAAGAAGACGAAAACAAATCAATTTAACCAAATCAAGCAAGGTAATCTAACCGAACTTCAACATTTACTAATTTTAAATAATTCGAGGTTCAAGAATTAGAAATTTGAATCACTAAAACACCTACGTCTTCTCTGTCTCCCTCTCTTTTCCCTACCTACATCTCTCGACAACCAAACAGTAAACAACAGAAGGAGAAGTCTAAATGGAAATGAAAAGAGAATAAAGAAAGTTTACCTGAGATGAAAATTTGAAACCCTAAACGAATTGGAAGAAGATTTTACTATTACTTCCTCTAAAACTTTAGTATTTCCTCTGCAACGTCTCGTCTTATCCGGAATCCAGATAACATATAGAATCAAGAGAAAGACGAACCACCAACTCCCAATAGAGAATAAATCGATGACGCTGGAGTCGAGGATGGCTGGGCAGCTCGAAACAGTGAGTAGATCTAGATGAGTATGGCGTCGACGACGGTAACCTAATTAGCTTTGTGGATATAGAGTAAACGACATAAAAGTTTCGGGAAAACATATAAACAAAACAGAAGATGAAAAAGGAGTTTGGGATTTAAAATAAACTTTGCCGTGTTTATAATTACAAATGGCACTATTTGTGTAACAGCTTAAACCAATATAATACATAGTCGATCAATTTGAATGTCACACAAAATCACTGGAATGACTAATCAAAAATTTTATTTAATTTCTTACTTTAAAACGACCAATGTAAAATACTCATAGTGAATAAATCAACCATTATTTTATAAATACATTACAACAAGAGCTCCCAAAATGAAATACTTCAAAATATACCTACCATCTTTTAAAATAAAATACGACTCGAAGGTATAAAATGAGGTCTACAACTATACATGCCCTCTAAATGTTAATCTCGAGACGTACTCTGCACACGACTAAGTCTGGATCACATGCTGCTCAAAAAGCTCCTCGACTGCTCCTTAACTAACCTGTGTAAGGAAACAAATTCCAAACTTTGAACTAACTAGCCCAATATCACACTAACAACTAAGTCATACTAAAAGTGTTCATCAAAATACTCAAACTAACTGGCACAATGCAACAGTGAGTATACTTGTATATTGCACTCTCTACTCTATGGTAGACATCATGGCGCAGCTGAGGCTTTTGCATCTTAGAGCTCACGCACCCCTCTAGTCTACTGAGGATATAAATTTATATCGGACACAACACCCTCGACTAACTCACCCCTCGCAAGTGTCGAGCCTTGGCACTAATTAGTCAGTTTAAAGTGCCTCGCACACTACCCAAGGATATCCGAACTAATTTTACTGTTCGATACTAGTATCATTTACTAAAGTGACTCGGGTGTCCTGATCGTTTCCCAAATGTACAAACAAGGCTAATTGTATTTGATCCTAGCAGTCACCGCTTCTATTATTTTGATATAAACTTTTGTTATCACTTGGAGTCTTATCCGTTATTAATCTGAGTATGTGGGGTACCTCGATTCTGATCCCAAAATCATTGGATTAATTATCCAAAAATGTTTGTGGGTACCGATAATTACCCATCAGTATCGATACTAAACCTTGGGTGTCGATACCCACATAATGGTATTGATACCACTATATTAATGTAGGCTATTTGGGTGGAGTAGTATGGATACTCTCTAGGTAGAGTATCGATACTCTGGTGCTGGGGTATCGATACTTGCCTTAGTATCGATACCAAATTTTAGTTCGATGTTTTTAAAAAAATCCAATATTGATACCCTTATGGGGAGTATCGATACTCCTCCATGAATGAGTATTGATATCACCCCTTTAAAATTACCTAGTTTAAGCCTGAAGGATGAACAATATCGATATTGCTCTTACAGTATCGATACTATCGCTACAAAATGCCCTGTTTTGGCACAAAAACACCTATCCATCTACCCAAAAGTCTCATTTCCCAATTAGTTTTTAAATGTCTTATTTGATATTAGGGATCATAAATAAGGCTTAAACTTGCTAAAAATCACAAAACATGGAATCTACCATGAATGCTCCATAACTCAACTTTAGGTTATGATGTAATCCTGATGACTCACAAGTGATATGAAGAAGTTGTAAGTGTGTTAGCTTGTTCTTTGGCTGCTAGAAACTCTCCCCAAATCAATCAAGGGTCAACTTTTCTTTCTCTCTTTCTTTAGAGCTCTCTCCTAACTCCTTCACTAAATAAGGATAAGAAAAAGGATTATTAACTTAACTAGTTTCTTGGATTGAAGTTAAAGACACTTCTTATAACTTGAATCCACTAAAAATGAGCTTGAATCACTTTATAACTCATTTTTGGAAACTAAGCCTACAACTTGAAAAATGAAACTTGAATTGAAGCTTTAAGAGTGGAAGTTATTAATCTTACCTTGTTTAATCAAACCTACACTTAAATCTATTGCGATCTCAAATTTTGCAGGGAATAATAAGAGAGAAAAGAAGGAAGAAGAAGAAGTGTTTAGTGGGAAATGTAAAGGGAGTGGTTCACATAAACATATCATAGGGAAGGGGTTTTCATCTTTCAAAATAAACAAAGGATAAATTACACTTTTAGTCCCTCAACTTCTAATTTCACTTAAAACACACCAACCCTTTGGGCCCAACTCAAGCCCACTCTCTACTTAAATAAGTCCAAACCATTCTAATGGGTTCTTTAATCAAATTATGGGTCTCGGGTTGACCCGAGCTACTAACCCGAGATTCGGGGTGTTACAACTGAGTTGGAAAATTACGGCGTTTTGAAAAAAAAATCAGTATGCATATACTCTATTGTGGCGTTTGTTTATAAAATGTCAAAAAATGATACTATATAGCGACATTTGTTTAGAAAACGTCAGAAAATGATACTCTATAGCGATGTTTTAAAAAGAAACGCTGCAAATATTATCATTTTTTGGAGTTTATGATTAAGCGCCACGATATTTACAAATTTTGTAGCGTTTATTTTCAAAACGCCGCTAAAAGCACCACTATAAATCAGTTTTGGTATTGATGCTCTATGATTGTCTATTTTGTTACATTGTTCATACATATTATTAAAAAAAATTGCGTGAATGCCGTCTACAAATTATAGTAGATGTTATGTCTTAGTTAAGAGAAGACCTGTACATTTATTTTTTTTGATGCACAACATTTTTGGATCTAGCTCATGCTTAAGGAGTTATCAACATCGGCAGGAGACAAATGCAAGGAAATAGAGCCCCACCCGAAAACAATTGCATACGACTCCCACTTTTTTGTTTTCTTGACGTTGTTTTCTTAGTCCAAGCGGACAACCCCCTTTGAATGTCTCAAATCTAAATCTAAAATAATTGAACACATCCAATAATACTAGCCAAGCTCACGTTAAGTCAAAATCTAATCCTATTATACATAAGGACGGATCCAGTCTTGTACCCTTAAATTTTTTGATACAATAACATTTTTAAGCCCTGATAATTTAAAGATAACGTAATTTAAGTCACGATTCTCAATTTTAATTTTAAATACTTAATAAAGATAAATAATTTAATTCATCTCCGACAACATCTGTAAAAATAATATATATTTGTCTTGAGAATGGTTTTATTCTTGTTTTAAGGTGGTGTTAATAATAATACAGCAGTTATCCTTTTATTAATTGGTCGACAAGGGCATGATTGAAAGGGAACGACATGCAGCTCTCTTTGATGTTTGTGTCCATCATGTGCACACAACTTATATTGCCACGTAAGTCACCGCATCCTATCACGTGCCGGCACGCAAAGGGAAGGTTCAATGACTTTCTTCTTCTTAAACTTTCATTTGGCTGCAGTGTTTGGGGTTATTGTGAAATAAATGAATCTAAAATGAAATGATTGCATACAGGCATGGCTTTATTTAATACGTAATATGAACATGGCAATGATTAAAACGTAACCAACCCATGGATTAATAGCCTTGCCTCATTTTTCGTTTTCTTCACGTTCTAGGCTCCATGTGATCAATTGCTTTAATTCCTAATCCATTATGTTCCTTCCTGGTTGGCAGGCGACTGTTGGACTCACATCCATCTCTATTCAATAAATTAAATCACAAGTACTAAATGAAAAAGGCATCGAATTAGGGTTAATAAATATTTACAATAAATTGGCTTCACTGCCAAGCTTCTCCACTATCATAATAATAATATTTTAATTACTTTTCGAAATTATAAAATAAACGGGCAATAATTCCATAGCAAGGGGAAACAGCGTATTGAATTGAAATATTTGGATCTCATGTGGTCAACCAAATATTTTATTTGTTCGGCTAGAAATCCAGTTCAGACACGTTTAAACAGTTCTTGTATATTTTCTATAACCAAACATTCAATAAAATAGAATATTTACGACATCGAAATCTTACTATATATATAATAATATTGGCATCAGTTGGGTATGTTATATTTTTATATTATTTCTAAACTTGTAATCTTTATATTTCAAGAGTAAATATAGTTTCTCAACCAAACCAAACTAAACCAAACCAGAAATAAATGTTACAAGTATGAAACAGAACATCCTTGACCTCTTTTGGTAGGAGTTTTTAATGAAATTGCATTATTTAAAGGCATAATGCAATAAAATAACCTTAACGTTTGACAATATTGTCAAATTTGTCTGTATTGTTTTTGTGGAACATTTGACCCCCAAACGTTTCATTTTGGGTCAAAAAACACTTTCATTGGATGGAAACCATTAGTCAACTGACGGTCAACACATGGTGCTTACCAAGCAAGTACAAGTACACCCAAATGCTGACATGGTATGTCCAGGTCATGATAGATGATGATGTGGCACTACCACGTCAGTTTTTTAAAAATTAAAATTAAAATATTATTCTTAATATTTATATATTTTTATTTATTATTTTTGTTTAATAAGATGATGACACGTGTCATCACCATATTGGTTTAAATTTAAACCAAACAAAACATGCTTTTGTGGCGAGTTGAATAAGGGCTAGCATGCTTAAAAACCCAACACCAAACCTCCAGGTCAAATCTTGCATTTGTATATCTTTTGCAAGACAAAATATTCAACATATATGTTCTGTCTCTCACATATTTTATCAGACACCTTCTTCATCCCCTCTTCACACGTAATTTCTTATTTCTTTTATGAACCAAAACCAAAATATACATATAAAATCAAACCATCTTATTTTGAAGAGGAAAACATCAACATAAATATGTGTACTGAAAGAACCTAACAAGAATTTCAGAAACATTACCCAGGCATGTCATTAACCTACTTGTAACACCCTAATCCAGTTCGACCCAAATATCCATGGATTACGATACCACACGAAACCATCATATCATATGCAGAATTGAAATAAAGTATTCAAAATATGGGAGTCTCCCAAAATACGTACAATACAACCATATAGTTTAAAATAAAAATAGAGTTATGACTTGAACACACATGGTCTATATAGAATACATGCCCTCTAAAATAGACTCAAGACATACTCTGTAAATCTTCTGGTATGGAATGTACGATTGCGATAGGCTCC